TCGTTGCTGGAACCATCCCTTTCGGGCAGGATTTCACAACCATCCATTGTATTTCCATGTGTCCTGAGATTTGTTTCAGGCTATTGAAGATTTGATCTATATCTACATACGTATCTATATATATATATATATGTATATATATATATACATATATATATATGACTTTTGGGCATTATTTTCGAGAACTATTGCATGTATCTTGATCATATTCAGGGCATCATCTGCAAATGATGTTTGGTGTATATATAAATATACGGTAACTATAGTGGCTTTTTGGGGAAACATTTTTTTGATGACAACTCATGACAAATCAGGGACAGTTTCCGATCGATCCATGCTTTTGGGAAACCTCTGTGAAACCTTAAATCTTTAGGAAAGACCCAACATGAAAAGGCTTCAATGAGGTTTGGAGGGGAAAAAACATCACCAAAGAAAATCTACAATTTGCCCCCCAGGTTACAAGTTGATTTATAACCCGGTCTAACTATACGCACAGACCCCGTGGTTTGCCCGTACTGCAACCTTGAGGATGCCCAGTAGTCGAGCATGATAAGACAGATCGCAGAAAATACTGTGTATACGCAGTGTTTTCCGGATTAGGATTCAGACTTTTTAGGGTTTCAGGCTTTTAGGGTTTAGGGTTCGCCGTCTGGGAAATCCCAAAACACTGGCGCTAGGAACTGTCCCGGCGCTTAGACCTCTGTCAAGAGGAGTTGGTGAGGCGACCGGGGACGCAGTGTGTTGATTTGGAGAATTTGGTCGGGACTTTGGTCAGGAATTATGATGGTTTCATGGGGGTTAAATGGTTTTTTAAGTATCAAAGATATGGGGATGGATCAATACCTATTAATACCATTTTTAGTGGGATGAACATCCATTCACCAGCTGTTTTGATGTTCACCAGGGGTACAAGGTTTTGACACACTGCCAAATGGTTTCAAGTATCAAAGATATAGGGATGTATAACAATTCATTGATAGATGATGTTTTTTCTTACCAGTCGGTAAACTCGGTTTCATAACCATACTTTTTTTTTGCCAGTTCTACATGCTATATCCTCGTGACATTTAATAGCCTCTTGTTAAGTAGAACTGAACCCCCAAGTCGTGTGTCAAATGCCAAGGATGGTTTCAATACCGCTCGTGATTGCCACCCTTTGGTATCTGGTATGATGCTGCCGATGGACATTTCCAACATGTTCCGTTTTGAGAGACAAGTATATCTCTTACTGTCTGTATATATATATATAAAGTACTTACACACATCTGCCGAATTATGTATATAGATGTATATAGTCATATACTTGTACATTTACATTTTGCACCTATATTCATACACCCGGTTGTTTTCCCAACAATGTTTGCATTTGGATATGTGATATTTGTATACGAATAAAAAAGGGGTATCTACCCCCAAATCATCCAAGTCATGGATGACCATTTTAGTATTGAAATCCATGGTGAGTCGGGAATCACCCCATTTGAGGAAACCCCCAGTCATACACCCTCCAAGAGAAGATATCACTGCAGGGAACGATCGAGATCTGAAGAGCTGGCGGCAGAGCTGCATGAGGCGCCGGTAAGTTAGCGATTTTGACAATGGGCATCGAGTAGGGATATACTGTAACCCGTAGAACTATGGTTACATATCCAACTACAACCACTGTGACAAACCTCAGTGAAAATTTAAAAACTGTGGTTATTTCCATGACTACAACCATTGTGATAAGCTCAATGGAAGTTGGAGGTGCACGCCTCATTGACAGGCTCGGCAGTCCAAAGATTCTGAGGCCCAATGTTGTGGAGGATTTTGGCTGAAGTCCATGGATGGCACATTTCAAGCCCTGCTTTACTACAGGTGACACATGTTGCCTTGGTTGTTGAATATATAGTTCCATTTTTGACAATAAAGAGGAGATATGATATGATATGGATATGGATATGTATATGTATATGTATATGTATATGTATATGTATATGTATATGTATATGTATGCATGCATGCAGCATGCACATACAAAATATACTATACCCTCCATCCAACCAATGTAGATTTAGTATATTCTAATATAGACTGTCAAATAAGGGTTGGACACTTAGTTTACTCTTTGGATGGGCGGCTTTGAGGGTCGGTGTTTGTTGGGTGGACAGTATACATATATATATATAAGTATGTATGTATGTATATATATATGTATATATATATAATTATGTATATATATAATATGTCCAAGTAGTACGTACATAAACCTATCCGTCAGTTTTTTATGATCCCATTCATTTTCCGTGCTTTAATCCACTGTTATTTTCGTAGTGTAGCTCCATCCAAATCCTTTTGTTTAAAACCTCATTTTGCCTACTGACTTATACATTGGGGCCTATCCCCGTGGGTAGCTATATCCACATTTTCATGTCCCTCGATTATATCTAATTCATGGGTCTTTTGACCATGTGTTTTTGATGGTTAAATCACCATACAATGGCTGGGTTAACCCCTATTTTTTGTGCTTAAGTCATCATTTTTGATGGTTGAATCAATGGATTGTTTTAAGGGAACATCTTAACCGGAAACCGTTGATTTTCCCAATAAATATGGGGCTTAAACCAGTAATTTTTCCCGTGAAAACCAATCCATTGATTGAAAGTGAAATTTCATTTTTTGCTGAAAAAACCCCTCTGGTAATTTAACATAGAGAACCGGAATACCACCATGATCTTCTATGATCATTTTCCTAGGGAAACCACGGGAGTTTTCCACATCTTTTTACTCGTTTGGGTTTACCCTCTGGTAATTTAACATAGCTATGGAAAGATCCACCATTTTTAATGGGTAAATCCACTATTTCTATGACCATTTTCAATAGCTATGTTAAATTACCCTAGGGTTTATTCCCATAAGCGGTGGTTTAATCTCTACATCACCAAGCAGCGAAAATTTCTGTTTGGGACCTTGAAACAGGTCGAGCATTTGCGACAGCAGCTGGCAATCAGAGAGCGGGAATTGGTGGCCGTGCGGCGGTCATGTTTGGATGCGGAATTGGAGTCACTGGGTGAAGCATTTGTGATGGGATGAAACTCCATAGATGAAATGAAAGATCAACTGCATAGATGGATTAAATGGGATTAAACTCCATTTTATGGGATGAAACTCCATCACAAATGGCGGATTTCAGAAATGAAAGATGGATTCAATGAAGCAATTCAAAAATTGAAGGGACCATCAACAGGAAACCATGTATTTTTCCACCTACAGTAGATTTCCTTCTAAACCCATTCCATGGCATTGGGATATTCCCGGAATTTCATGGGTAAAGAGTGTGGGAACCCCAATCAACAGTAAACTATGGGGGAAAAAAATGCCAGTTGGAGTCATTGGGGGCTTCTTGTAATTGTTAAAGACTTGGGGTTTTCTGTCGGGTGTACCGTACAGTAAACCACTGAACAACGGCTCAACAACATCTTTCTGGTCCATTTGAAGTAGATCTTCTCTACCACCAGCTATAGGCCTGTAATTATGATTATTGTTCTACTATTTTCATTCATTATTGTTATTTGATTATAAATTGTTGTTACTTGACTTTTATTTTTGTTAGCCAATTACTACTATTGCTATTGTTATTGTATAATATCGTATATTACTATAAGTATAATATCATAATGATTCTCCAATTCATTTGCTTTATTATCACTACTATTACTATTGGTATTATATCTGTCTGTATTTGCACTGATGCTTTATGGGGAATCATCCCCATAGCGGGCCGTATGATGACAGCTATCTGTATCTATATGTATCTATATCTATGTATATATATATATATCAATCTATATCATCTATATCATGAATACACACATATATTCATATTATAAATATAGTACACACATATATATATATCTACATACATGAAAATATACATCTCTATATTGACCGTAGAACCAACTGCCAGGCCGCCTCTGCGCGGCACCGCTGCGCGGCGCGGAGCGAGGCGCTGGCGACGTCCTTGCGGAGCAAGCTGACGGAGTTGGAGGCGTTTCCCTCGCTCGCTGCGTTTCGCGTGGCGGAGCGTGGCGGCGGGGGCTGGGAAAAACCTGGAAAAATGGTATCTTTACAATAATCGACTTATGGCATTTCATGGGATTTCGTAGGTTTTAATTGGATTTCGTCGTATCTTTTTTTGTTTTAATGGGATTTTAGGAAGACTATGTTTTTTCGTTAAGAGGATTTGAGGAATTAAATTCATGGAATTTCATAGTATTTCATAGAGATCAAATTCAAATGGGATAGAACCAATGGACCAACATATAAATCTATCTATCTACCTGTCTATGCGGGTATGCACAAGATTTGGCTGTGTGGCCTCCATGGATCAGGTGACCGACTCAAAATGACGCAATTTTTTTGGCTGACTGTCCCCCTGGCAAAACATAGCAATGGAACATCCCAATTTTCGATGGCAGAACTTCTATTGTCAGCTTAGATTGCCAGACGGTAAAGAGTAGTGGAGCACAAAATGTGGCCTTTCAGCACGCTAATTCTGACTCCGGATGACTTGCAAACCTGCTGTGTTGCCACCGATGCGTGCTCAACGACTGGCTCAAATAGCAATACCACTGCATGTTAGCCGGTAGTCAGACATGTAGGCACGGGGTATACACATGTATGTATATTATGTATATATACAATATAATCTATAAGACACATACTTACAGTGTATACATCCATACGCTCATATACACGCATCATATCAATACATATACATATATGAATACATAATATAACTGTACATATACATCTATACACACACATATATATATATATATTGTATATAGACATACATATACATATGTATGTCTATACACATACATTCACCGGGCATAGAACCAAGCTAAAGTACCACTAGCTGTTCCATGTAGTCTAGAAGACTCACAGCAACCTGGATTCACCTGGCGTTTGCGGAGCCAAATTCTTGAACATTTTCGGATCACGGAAACTCCAATAGCACCGGTTGCAGTCTGCTGAGTTCCGAATGTACCGGTTTCAAGTTTCATGTGACACCCAATGGGGTGAGGCCGGACATGTCTGTGAGTTTCTGCAGAGATGGCTGGTGGCCAAAAAGTTGAGAACAAGCCGTAACAAACCCAGAGATTTGTGATACTTTGTGATCAACTATTATATCACATTCTCTATCCCTATTATATATATATGTATATATATATATACATATCAGCCCACAGATTTGTGATATTTTGTGATCATGTTCTTTGTGTCCACCATGGGATCAACATTTTTTTTTTCGGTAGGAGGTGTGCATCGTGGGCAACAGCAATTGCCTGGGATCCTGGAATGTGCGCCAGGCGCGAAGCGATCTCTGCGAAATATCTGGATTTTATATGATATTTTAAAGGCGTTGTATGGATTGTTAAGGGGATTTGATATGGGATTCTAATGGATTCTAGGGATTTAGGATTGTTAAGGGGATTTGATATGGGATTCTAATGGATTCTAGGGATTTAGTGAGCCATTAAATCTCTGTCGTCAAGCCCAGCCCATTTCCATATGATCATATGGAGGTTTCCTAAAATAGGGGTACCCCCAAATCATCCCATTTATAGATGGATTTTCCATGACATAAACCATCCAGCTATGGGGGTACCCATGACTTAGGACCCCCCCGATTTTGGTTTTGGTTTTGATCCATCCAGTAGGGGTTAACCAATGACGAATTTTGCATCACCTTTGGCATTCACCTTTGGCGTCCACTTGGGCTCTGCCTGTCGTGGTGTTTCAGTTGATTCATGTCCATTGTATCGTCAAAAAACACACAAATCTCCAAAATTATCCAAACATCTCCATCAGTTGGAAGCCTTTTGGCAAATTTGGTTGGAACAACTGGGGCTGTCTGAAAACTGAGGGGAACGTCGGAACGTCCCCAACTTTGATGGGTTGAGCATCAGTTTCCCTATGGGTTGAGTGGCCAACTGGCCAACCATTGGGCATCCCTGGTGCGTCAGGCAGTAGTGCTGAAGCCGTTGAATTATCCCCTGTGGAAGAGCGATGAAATTGACATCTCCGATGTGGGCCCTCCAGAGGAGGCTGATGGTTGGGATATGTCGGGTTTTTCTCATGTCATGGAGATATAAAACATACTGAAAGAATCTGAAATATATTGAAATACAAAGTATGCATAGACCGTCTCAAAGCTGTTGTTCCATTTTGTGTTGTATCATGTATACACCAATTCAGTTTTTGCCAGCGGAATGCCGCAGCTCACACTCCGGCAAGTCGCAGGCATCCTCGAGTTCAAAGAGACTGGAGTACAAATATGTCATTCGGGGCCCTCATGGTGTCAAGCCTCCCACCCGCACTGGTTGGACTGTGTCAGGAACAAGCCCAGAAATTTGGGCGAATCTTTGGGCAGTTTGGAGCCCCTTTTTGGGGTTTCTCAGGGCCATTTGGGGCAGTGAAATCCGAAACACGCATGGTTTGTGCTGCTTTCCAGGTTTCAAGCTGTGGACATTTCCGCAGTAGATTCCTATCACGGCCACTGGGAGCAGCCGAGGTGGGAGCATGGCAACAATCGCTGGGCTCCTGTTGACATTGGCACGAGGCCCGGTGGATGATCTGCATGGAAATCTGGCACCGATGGAAATCTGTCAGAGATTTTTAACCGCCAGGCTCACCGTCCACGATGGTTGCTTTGGATGCATCCAGTCATACCCCTTCTCTTTCCAGGACAGTTGGTTTCGAACATCTGCAGACTACCTCGTATGAAAGTATTGAATATCCTAGATTTGCTTCGAAAAAACGTGGGTTTTCTCGTGTTTTCTGTAGATCTTCCAGTCACAAAACCCGTCCAATGTGCCACAGGAGGGGCCCGAGATTCTGGAGCGCAGTCAGACCGCAGCAGCAGAAGGGCAGCCCCGCGGCTGGTGCATTGCAGTGGTTGGTTCTTCTGTAGCCGAAGGCGGGCGGACCCCCCTGTGAGTCTTGTGAAAATCTGGGGAAACCACGGGAAAACCAGAACATCCCATGGTTATTCCACGGTTTGGAAAGCAACTTCCGCACTAAAATTGCGAATCGAGAGCAAACCCACGAGTTTTTTTTAGAAAGAAACGCCCTGCAGAAACCATAGTTCAGTAGTGTTTAGTAGGGGATTGGAAATATATTGGGGACATTTTGGGACATAGTAGGGGTGCTTGGTATTAGGGGGCTTATATACATTAATCTGTCAATAAACGATTGTTGATTATATATATAATATGTATATATATATATATTATCATATTCCCACTATATCAATCTCTACACCTACATCATGGTAAGAATCACCAACCAACCATCATGAGCAACCATTTATCAATTCTGTCCCCATAGTTGGTTGAATGCCCCCAATGATGGCTAAATCACCATTAAATCACCATTAAATACCCAGCAAATACCCATCAAATACTCATTAAAATTCAATGAGTATTTAATGGGTATTTAATGGTTTTAAATACTCATTAAATCTCCATATATCCATAGCGACACACTCTGGGTTTGTCACTGAATACGGCAAGGATACAACACCTGGCGGAAACGCGGCTGGGCTTGGCTCCTTGGAGAGGCGCCTTGTGACGTAGTGTGCCGGCTTGCCGGCCGTTGGTGCGCTTGGATTTCATGGAGATTCACCAAGCAGAGCAGGAATAACGATACATTGAATATTGAGGTATTTCAAGACATGAAAAGAATTCAAAAGATGATAAAAAATGCGAATTGAGAATGACACATCAATCAATGGGTTGAAGTTTTGTCAGGAAAAAATACAGTGGACAGTGGACAATTTGTTTTTTTGTTCTGAAAAACACAGGTATATTTCTGGATATTTTTGGGAAGGATTGTTTTCCATCCTCCAGCATGAACGGCCGATGGGATGTGGTGGGAGAGACGTTTTGGAACCTTTCAGTGTTTTCCCAACTCCGACCCGGAAAACTGCCCCCCTGGCCATCTTTCAAGCTTGGTAGAGCTCGCCGCCGTCGCATTATCGCCATGACCCAACAGTACCACGAGCACCTGTTGGAAGCTGGTGAGAAACCCAGCAGCAGCGACAGCTGGCCATGGCGGTGGATTCTGCGGGCCTTGGCATTCCTGGTGGCGCTAGCTTTGGCCCTGGGATTCCTGAATGATGGGAAAGCTGCCCCAGGACCATTGAAGTATCTCTACATCTCCTTTCATGGGGATGGCAGTGCCACCACTCCCTTGCCTCAGTACGGCGTGAACCAGATCTTTCGCTTTGACCTCGAAAATCTGGGGGATCCTGCCCAGCCGGTGCTGGGAAAGGGGTCGCCGACCCCACCAAGGATGCTGCGTGACATGCAGATACTGAAGGATGGGACTCTGTTCGTTGCCCAAGGCTTGAAGTTTGACAGTTGCATCTTGCAGTATGGTCCTTGCGACCAAGATGGGGTGAGGCAGGGGGTTACTAAAGTAATCTTTTGTTTTTCTGGATGTTGGGGCAACTGGCAACTGGTCCTGATGTTCACCGATTGGTCGATTTGAAGATAAGATTCCTCCTGGTTTACCCTCTGGTAATTTAACATAACTATAGAAAATCACCATTTTTAATGGGACAATTCACTATAAATGGCCATTTTCAATAGCTATGTTAGTTTACCAGAGGGTAGTGGTCCCCAATGTCTTGACCTGTCAGGCAGTTTCAGAGGGAGTACAGGAGCCCGATTCTGGTGCATCCCTATGCCCTGACCTTGCTAGGTGAGGCATTAACAGCTGCAAAAGTCTTTTTTTCTTGCGGATCTTGGGCTCCAAACTTATGGTTAGGGCTCACAATTGGGTGGTTCCATAAATGGGGTACCCCTAAATGGATGCTTTATAATGGAAAATCCTATTAAAATGGATGATTTAAGGATACCTCCATTTATAGAAACCTCCAATTATTCAAAATGATCATTGAAGTATCTTGAAGCTGCATGCTTTTTTTTTTTCAAGCATGGCGAAGTTTCTGCTTGTCTAAAACTCTTTTAGACACCATTTGGCTGGTGAAAAAATCACCCCAACATGACTTGGGTCAGGCGACACACTCTTCGCCTCCACACAAGACTCCGGCACAGTGGTTGGCTTCAATCTTACTGCTACTTGGCTGTAAAAAACAAAACACGTGAAGGTGTCGCTTAATTTTATGGGCAAAACTGCAACGCCGGTGATTTCAAGATCTGAACACATTGCGTTTTCTCTGCGTTCTCGCCCTGGTTTCCTGCATGATCCCAATTGCCATTTTGGATCCGTTGAAACTACCAACCAGCTTGGTGTCGCTGTTGAAGAACGGGGATTGGAGGAGGCAGTTGTAAAATTTAAGCAATGCTTGATTGACATCAAAATCCTATTCTGATGGGATCTTCATGCGATCAAAGTGAGAATGTTATGATCGGTTATTTAGGTTTGTGTAAAAATAGTATGTCCCTAAAATCCTACGGTTTGAACGATAAACACTGATTTAAATCATCGTCTTAAATATTAGAGCGACATAACATGGTCACACATATATATATATAAAATTATATGTATACACATATAGATACACGTATTGTGCATATGCAGATACGTATCTGTGTATATATATATATATATAAAAGTGTATGTGTACACACACACACATACACAGACACACACACACAGACACACACACACACATCTGAATATATATATACATATATATATACATATATATACATATACATATATATATATATACGTATATATATATATATACATATATATATATATACATATATACATGTATAGTGGATGTCACTTCTCCATTTTCAGACACACCTATTCAGCACCCAGATTTTCGCATGGGAACTGACTGTCCACTGGCACAGTCAGTTCATGTGAACATCGCAACTGGCCAAGGACTGGCCAAGGGCCCAAACATGATGAATCTGGTTCCAGGTCCAAAGAAACATGATCTAGCAATATCAATCAGAGGTAATATGAAAATCTCTCTCTATTAAATATCATACATTATAAGTCCATTATGATTTTATGATCTATGATTGATACCTCTTATAAGCCCATTATAAGCCCATTATGAGCCCATTATGAGCCCATTATGATTGAGATGATCCCAATGGACCAGCGGCGACCAGGAATCCCATGACCTACTTTCATCGGGTGATCGCATCAACTTCAACCTGCAAGGGGTCAGGGGCTTATTTCCGTTGTGGTTTTTGGGAACATGATGTGGAAAATCGGTGAATTGCACCAAGAACCAGCCGCATTTCCATGGGGAAGACGACTCACCGTGGGATGGAATGGGAGAGAATTTCCATGTGGACATCCACAGTTTGTGCAGTTTGTGCCGCGTATGAGCATTCTGTTCAGTGGAGATTCAAGCATTGCTTGAATGAAATGCTAATGATAGATGCCGACAGTGGATGCTGGTGTCACCTAGATTGGCAGGGAAATTTACAGAAACCAGAGGTGTTACAGTATATAACTACCATATGTTACAGCAGTTTTTTGGAATCCGTTCTCCGTGTTATCCCCACAACATTTCTGGGATGTGGAAGACATGCCATTCATTCAGCAACACTGAGGACTTTCGGTACAGGCCAGGGATCACCTATCGGGGCATCGCCAGCTACAAGAGATGCCTCTACCTGTCTGTCACAGAGATGGATGTGGTGCCTTGTACGGATACAAAGTGCCTGCGTTGATGGTGGTAAACCCGAAAAACAGCTCAAAACCCTGTGAATTTGGGACAATTTGGGATCTTTGATTGCTGGGTTTACCACCTTTGTGCCCCTCACATATCATGTGCCATCGCCATTGACTTCCCAGATCAGTTGACGCGGTTGCTCCTCCTGGAGGCAGCGACATTTTTTAAATAATGAGATCACTGAGACGTCACCATGAAGTATGGTTAGCAGGGGGAATGGTCCCTGAATGGCCAGTTTCTGAGTTATCACAATTTATACAGCACAAAGATGTATGGATATGATTGAATATGCTTCACTTAAACGTACACTAGAGTTCAGGCATCTCCGGGATGTGAATTTGCAGTAAACTTTGAACTAATGTGAACAAAAACAATCATAACAATCCATATGTACAGTCTCCAAATCCAGGGACATTTGGAATTGGTCTGTGGCCAGACAACACACAAAATCCAGGTTTTAGAGTGCATCACCAGTTTCAAACATATCCGCCCCCAAAATTCTGATGCTTCCATACAAACAAGGTGTGCCATGGTCAAAATTTGGAGTTTTGGACATTATAGGATCATTATAGACCCACATGGCGCGATGCTTATCAATAGGGATTCAGATAGTCACTTATAAGATTTACTGGTTGGTGGTTTGGAACATGAATTTTATGACTTTCCATTCAGTTGGGAATTTCATCATCCCAACTGACTTTCACTCCATCATTTTTCAGAGGGGTGGCGAAAAACCACCAAGCAGTATGATCATATATCCCATCATATAACCATATATACCCACTATTATTGGTATTATAACCAGTATTATTATATAATCCATATTTAGATATCCCAATTAATATACCTAGGGATTCACCATTCTTCACCATTCATGAACCATTTTCCATGCTGGGATGGATGCGCATTTTTCCATGGCGGAGGTGGCGGTGATCTGCGACTTTGACCGAGTCTCCCGACGGATTCCCGTGCGGCATCCCATCGGTCTCATGGTGGATGAAGAGAAGAAGGAGCTTTACATCGCGTCTCCGGCGAAAGACAAGGAGGGGTTGATGGGTTTGGGGTTACCAGCTTTTGATGCTGGTTGGTGGTTTGGAACATGAGTTTTATTTTTCATAATATATATATATATGTATGTATGTATATATATATATGTATGTATATATATGTATGTATATATATATATATATGTATGTATATATATGTATGTATATATATATATATGTATGTATATATATATTGATATTGTGAATAATACTCCATATAGAGGGGTAGGTATACCACCAACCAGGATGGGTTTTCATGGGCCGTGGGAAACTGAGAACTTGGAGACCAGGACGAGCAAGGAGAAGTCTTGGTGGTCGACTTGTCAAACGATAAGGTGTTGCGAAGGCTGCGACATGACACTTGGCGCTGTTGGTTGATGGTTGGCACAACCGGGTTGTACAAAGTGTTTTTTCCGTAAATGCCAAGCAAAAAAATGAATAGAGCACACAAGAAATCTGCATATTTTGCAGAAAACAATCGCTTCGTTGAACATTGCTCTACACTCCTGCTACAAGAAATGCAGCACTTTTTGAAAGGAATCCTTTGATTTGAATGACAAGTGCTGCTATACATGAACAGCAAACTTCTTTACACAAAGAAATTCTATGTTTTGAATAGGGAGCAATGGTGCGTGTCGTGTGAAAAAAAAAACTGTCTATTTTGCAGCAAAACTGTTACTACTGGATGTTTTGAAGGAACAGTGTTGCTTTGAGGAAATGCAGTAATGACTCTTCTAAGAGACTACACTTTTTGACAAGATCTTTTTGAATCACAACTGTTGATAGAAATGAACAGTGAATCGCTTCACACAAAGGAACGGCACACTTCGTGAAAGGAATATTGCCCATTTTGCAACAGCATTGTGACTTTGAGGAAAGGTTGTACTTTTTGAAGCAACATATTTCTCTTCGAGCAGAATTCTGCATCTAGGAAGAATGCATGGCATATTTTGCAGGAAGATAGCTCGCAGTGTCCGCAAGGAAAACGGGCACTTTTTCCAGGAACGTTGCATGTTGAAAAGAGTACTGCGTTTTTGACATTGTCAAAACATGGTAACATATTTTACATTTTGAAAGGAACATTGCTTTTCGGACACAAACTCATGCTTGCTACATATTTTCCAAAGGCAAAACTTTAGCTTGGGTGGTTTTGGAAAGAAGAGTGCACTTCTTCAAAATATTTTTGTTTTTTTTGAACAGATCTTCCTTCTTTCAAGGGAGAATGCATCTTGGGAAGGCATGGTGCGAAAGTGCAAGAAAACTGATCTTTGGTACCGTACTCTTTGGTAAAGTAAGACAAGCACGATATTGTTCGAAAGAATGCTACACTGCTTTATTGCGTCTGAGGAATGATCTATTGTTGGAAGAAGGATTGCACTTCAAAAGCAAATCAACATCTTTTAAAGAATAGCGGCCCTGCTTTTCTGAGGGAGTCTTGTACCTTCTTACAGCTACTCAAAGTGAGTTAGATACTGGACATACTGCTTCTCCAAAGAACCTTTCTTGAAAGGAATTATATAACACCAAGAATGCCAAAAGCAGACTTCAAGAGTTCCAAGTTTGAAGAGCAGGGAAGAAACAAAGCAAACAACCAAGCCCACAAGTCAATGGGGTCCACTTTTTTGCACAGAGCAATTGCTGCGCACTCCCACGGTCCCAACTGTTCTGTGTTTGCAAAACATCTCCCGAAGTTTGGAAGGGTTTTTCCAATATTTTCCATCCATTACCAAGGAAGGCATGGAGCATCCAACGAACATGGTGTTGCACAAGGACAAAGTGATTGTGGCCTCCCAGACTCAAAAGTCTATCTTGGAATCTCGGAGTGATGGCTTGTGGATCAAAATTCGGCCCAAATTGGATGGTGGAATATCAAACAGGGCCAATCTTTTTCAACTTTTTAGCCATGCCAGACCACCAATTTTTAGATTTTTGACGGTGCTGCTCAGCCCTCACGTGGGAGAATGAAATACGTAGTAGACGCAAGAGCTGTTTACCTTTCAGACTTGTGCATGCATATTTATGCAGCTGACAAGATATGCATATTGTACATACGTACGTACATACATATATAATATAATATAATATAATATAACATAACATAATATAATATAATACAATAACATATAATACGTTTCGGTATATATATATATTTATATGATATGCACACAAGTCTATGTCTCAAACGAAGCCTGCTCCTGCTCGTTGTTGTTGGCATCAACAACCTTAGCGCCTCTTAGGAATTCGATCGCAGCGGAGAATTTTCGAAGGTTTTGATTCAGAACCTTCCCGATGCTCCAGAGCAACATGGCTGTCTGCCAGCTCCTGGTTGGGTGTTTCAAATCAACAGGTTGGGGAGCACTAGAAATAGTGATTAACCACTATTAACCACTATTAACCACTATTAATAACTATTAACCACTATTAATAACTAACTATTAATCACTAAGTCTGAAATATCGATGTCTTTTCGTTCCGTGAAAAAATCTCTTCAGAGACAAGGGAATCTCCCCTTCTGTGGCCTATGCATCTAGCTGCCATGAATGCTGTCACTGCGCAACACGGGCTTGGTGACTTAGTGGTCCTCTGCCAGGAATCAACACACGAGGACTGGTTAAACAATGTGGGATTGCCTGTTGATGGGGGATAGCCGGATAGCTGTCAAATAATTGATCAATTTTACACTTTCGAAAGGGGATGGCTATAGCACCTGCAGTAAAGAACATCTATGGCGCCACCGCCGGCTGCGGCTGCCGTAGAGTTTTGCCGACTCCCCCACTGAGGAACATCATGCTGTCTCCGTGCTGAATTTTGACCTGTTGGGCGGGCTGGACAGGGCTCCAATGCTCCAACACAATGAGTATGGGTCAACATCGTCAACTGTCAACATTCAGGGCTTTGGAACTTTGGGACCCCAAGAAGTTGTATTTGTGAAATGTATTCATACATCAACTCTTGCACTGATGACTTGATCCAACTCCATTTCGAATGAATTTTGGTCAATGTGACGTGTTTTTGGCATCTTTGATCCATACCCATATACAATGGGCGTGCTGCTCGGATAGCACAGGAGGCAAGGAAACCTTGCAACTTGAGCAAATTGTGAGGCTTCCAGGGGAGTCTGCAAATGCAAACTCCCTGTCAATCTAGTTTTGGGGTTGCCATCCGGGAAGCTCTACAACGTATCAACGTATCAAGTTTTGGTCCTTTCATGATTTATCAGTGAAAGTGGCGAAAGCGTGGGTCGTCCAAAATGGGTTACCCCCAAATCCAAACTTTGTCATGATTTTAAGATATTTTGAGTGTCAGTTTGGGATAATTTGGAGATTTTGGACGAAGCCATATTCTTTGGCAGCCTGAATCAGTGATGGTGTTTGTTGAACTATGTCCCGGAAGCGCAGACAAAAACCACAAAAACCTTTGCTTAAGGGGTGTCGGGTGCAACGTTCTGACGGCTCCAGAACCATGGTTTTGTGCCATGGAGATAATGGCAGAGGAGGATTTGACCGCTGGCCTGATTTGAATTTTGAACGGCGGCCACAGCTCTTCAAACGGGGCTGAGAGCGCTGAGAGCTCTCAATCGAGAGAATCCCAGCGTCCAAGCCTGCCCAGCTCCAGACCTTTAGACTAGAGCCACACAGCAAAGAAGAAAACTGATGATCCAGCTGATGTTTTTTCGATGTGCCCAGCTGATTCTTCTGGAGGGACCTGTCTTCATGCCTGAAACAGTCAGAAGGCAAATGCTTCGTGCGAGCCATTGCATCCAATGAAGGAAATAAAGGGTGTTCCACTAGAAAGCTGAATACCTCCACCAGCAAGTGATGGAATTACCATGAATACCAACCACTATAGTAACACACCAAAAGATAGACTAGTAAAATCTGAATCATCTGAATCTAAGATAGATAAGATAGTGATAAATTGAAGCCTTTCAATCTTTTTTGGTGGGGTTTCCTTGATTTTTGACATGCAGGCACTGCACCAAACCTACGGCCATCGGGTGTGGGATCTCAGCGAGCCACAGAAAACTGCTAAAAATAAGAGGATCAACATGGGACAACCAACGTTTTAAATAGATATTGGTTGGTGGTTTGGAACATTTGGATTATTCACCCCGCTTCGCGTGGGGTGGCCGCCCACACCGCAGGTTTATTTCGGTCCGTGAGAGGGGCTAAGGGTGGTTTTCCCCCGTGGGGGCTCCCCAAGCTAAGAATTTTCACTTTCCCCCGTCAAGGCTCCCCAAGCTAGGGAATTTTCACTTTTCCCCCCCGTGGGGGCTCCCCAAGCTAGGGAATTTTCACTTTCCCCCCCCGTGGGGGCTCCCCAAGCTAGGGAATTTTCACTTTTCCCCCCCGTGGGGGCTCCCCAAGCTAGGGAATTTTCACTTTTCCCCCCCGTGGGGGCTCCCCAAGCTAGGGAATTTTCACTTTTCCCCCCCGTGGGGGCTTCCCAAGCTAGGGAATTTTCACTTTTCCCCGCTGTGACAGCTTCCCAAGCTATGGAATTTTCACTTTTCCCTCCTTGGAGGCTCTCCAAGCTGCGGAATTTCAAATAGCTAGACAACGACGCCTAGATAGTCCCCCAAATCCCGTGTTCTTTGAATGTGTTTCCATGTTTTTGCAATGGTTTCCTTCAAAGCACGGTACTTTACACTTTTGTCGCCATAAAACCGGTCGAAAACATCATGTTCGACAATGCTTCCAATTCCCTTATCTCCCCAACCGGTGAAAATACCGCTATTTACAGTGTTTTCTTCAATTTTTCCATGTGCCAATGCCGGTAGCCAACTCCAACATATATATAAGAAATCCTTCCAAAACATTGTTTTTGACAGTGTTTTTCCAATGTTTCCAGTCAAACAGACGGTAATTTACACGTTTTTTGCCATAAAGGCAGTAAATCCTTCCAAAACATTGCTTTTGACAGTGTTTTTGTAATGTTTCCAGTCAAGCATACGGTAATTTACACGTTTTTTGCTATAACGTCAGTCCAAAACACTTGTTTTTGCAGTGTTTTCAATGCTCTGGCATCCAAAAACCCTGCAAAATCTTGCTATGTACAATGTTTTTTTCATTTTTGGCCGTTTTTCCATTGCCGGAAAGCTACCAAAATGACCCAAAATTCCATTTCAATACCCTCTTGCGCTCAGACACCCAAAAATCCTCGAAAAATGTCGAAAACACCACCGTATTCTGGTCTCGGTGCGAAACCGTTTTTGGCCCCCCCCCAGCTAAAGCTGATATAGCGACTGCTATATTAACAAATGTCATTGAGCATTTAGTGTTGCTGTTGCCCCCCAATAAGCACGCCTTCACCGCCAAAGCGGTGTGGGCGGATTTTTCCATATATATTTTTCCATATATTTTTCCACATAATATCCCAAGTGACGAACTCCATCATTTTTCAGATCAAACCACCAAGCAGGATATGATTACTGTTTATAATTGATGCTTAGCAGTTGGGTAAATTCCACGACATCCAGCTCTTTCATTGCTCGAAGTTTTCATATTTGGATCTACCTACCACATGTGGGCGACTGTTCAAAAGAATGTATATAGGACTTTTTGATATTATTGAGGTAAATAGGAAATACGTGGATGATGCAGTTGTATAGTTGCCGGAGTTTCTTGGTTGTGAACTACAGGAATCTTGCGGTATTTCAGTAATTGCCCGCCCAATATATCAAAAGAGTTTGGGGGGTGGAGGTCGTTTGGACAATCACAAGAATTGGTATGTATATAGATATATACCACCACTATATAGATATACAGATATACATATACCCACTATATAGATGTACATATACCCACTATATAGATAGATGGATGGATGGATGGATGGATGGATGGATGGATGGATCGATCGATCGATCGATCGATCGAATTGATTCCATTCCATTCCATTCCATTCCATTCCATTCCATTACATTACATACATAATACATATTATATTTAGAGATATGTAGAGATAGGTAGAGATACGTAGAGATATGTAGAGATATGTAGAGATATGTACTGTAGAGATATGTAGAGATATGTAGAGATATGTAGAGAGAGTTAGACATAATGACATAGACATAGAAATCGTCAAAAGCAGTGGCCCTGCCAGGTTGTGAATGTCTCCCAATGTGGGGCCAACACAGCCATCACCAAGGACTCTGATTCCATTGATAGAAGCGCCAGTCAGAGGTCAGATGTGTTTTTAAACAAAAAACACAAAGAACTGGGATATTATCATCTTTATTTTTACATAAATGATGATATCAGATGTTTTTTTTTTAACGTTTTTTTTTCTTTACAAGAAAAGACTGATTAGGAGAGATTTCAAATCTGTCATGACATGTGAATGGATCACTATCCGTTTGTTTTTGGCCACCTTGATCCATAACACCTCATTCTGACCCACATCCACGTTTGACACGAGCGTGAAGAATTGGTGAGTTATTAAATGGTCCTTGAAATCATTGGATCATTAAAAAATGACCAGTGAGCTAGTTGGTTTATTTATAGTTTACATATAACTCAAATAAATAGGGTTTATTGATGTTTATGATATGTATTTGATTATATTTATATTATATACTATATGTAAAACTACTTATATAATTTAAGACATGATCTTGTGGTATATATACACATAATATATGTCTATATCATTATCTCATTCTATATATACCTATATCTAGATTAGTCTATATGTCTATCGGGTACCCCTTACCCCAATCACTTCAGGAGCGTCTGAGAAGTCACGCAGTGACGCAGCTGAAGCCGGACATTGTGATCATTGCTGCCTGGTGGTATGTCGGTGCGGAGAACTGCCTTGGAGAAGGATGTAAATTGCTGACTGCCTAGAATATAAGAGATAACTAAAACATTGGCGTATGTATATATACATATGATTATATATGTACATATGTACATATGTACATATGTATATATGTATATATGTATATATGTATATATGTATATATGTATACATCCATACATCCGTACATCCATACATACATAGATACATAGATACATAGATACATAGATACATAGATACATAGATACGTAGATAGATAGATACATAGATACATAGATACATAGATACATAGATAGATAGATAGATGGATAGATGGATAGATGGATAGAAGGATAGATGGGTAGATGGATAGATGGATAGATGGATAGATGGATAGATGGATAGATGGATAGATGGATAGATAGATAGACAGATAGGTAGATAGATAGATAGATACATAGATACATAGATACATAGATACATAGATACATAGATAGATAGATGGATAGATAGATATATAGATATATAGATAGATAGATAGATAGATAGATAGATACATACATACATACATACATTGACACATACATACATACTTTGACACATACATACATACATACATCCATCCATGCATGCATGCATACATACATACATCCATGCATACATACATACATACCTACCTACCTACCTACATACATACATACATACATACATCCATGCATACATCCATGCATACATACATACACACCTACCTACCTACCTACCTACCTACCTACCTACCTACCTACATACATACATACATACATACATACGATGGATATATGTAGATCATAGATGTGTTTATGTATATGAACACATTTTCATACTTGAGCCATTTGCGGTGTTTGTCCTGGACCGGGCTAAGGCGTTAAGTCTGGGCAATGAGGCCCTGGGTTGCCTGGGGGGGTTTGGGGCCCAATTTTTTGGGGGCAACCACCTGTTTATAATAGGACGATGGGGTCGAAATGCGCGGACGCATGATACAAGTGGACATTCGAGGTATATAATCTCCAAGTTTTGAGGTAACCAGCTTCGACTCATATCCGATATGGGTGCATTTCCTGATGGGAAATGTCGTCTGTTCCTGAAATTCCGGAGATTTGGATTGCAACCACCAAGGCTTGGAGATAGATGTCCCAATTTGATGCTTTATGATCGTTTTCCCTCTTAAACTTGCTGTGTATAGAGGGTATGCCCGTTGAATCCCTGTTCTTGACGGTGAAATTCCAATGTCTGGGCAACTACCATTATTGGATCTGATTGGAGGAGCGTTCCTGACTTTCTGATAGCCCACTTTTTTCTCCGTATCCCAGAAGTAAAAGACTATGCTTTCCTTTTCATTTCCCCTCAAACCAATCTATTGTTCTTATTGCACCCCATGATATCTCCCATTATCATTTTTTTTTTGCCTTTAGATTTCCCCATTATAATCAGATCCCATTTTTGTCATATCATATCCCTATGTATCCCCATAGTATCCCATTTTTTGTTCCTTAAGTCACCATTTTTGATGGTTAAACCCCTAGTATTAACCCAATAGAATCATTATATCACATCCCCATCTACATCATATCCCATCTTATAATCATATCCCCATTATAATCATATCAGTGCCAAAAAGAACTTGTTCAAGCATCATGTCCCCTATCATGTTCCCATTTCCCATCAGTGGGCTAAACATATCACATCCCCATCTTCATCATATCCCATCTTATAATCCCATCTTATAATCCCACCCCTCTAATATGAACCCCCCTAAATTGTCCCAATTATCTGGGAATCCCCTACTAAACCATGGTTTCTAAGGTTTTTTTTAATATTAGGAAGGGAATTAAATGCTACTTTTAATAGGGAAGATGATGTTTAACCAATGGATTTAGAGGTCCCCGATTTTCAGACAAATCCACATCCCATCAGTGGCTTTCTGTACCCACCATTTCCATAGCAGAAAACTCCCAGGGTTTGGCCCACTGCCCGGCCGCCGAACGTCGCGCCGCGCAGCATCGCTTCGAGCAAGGCGAAGAACATCAAAACATGGGGAACATGAGCGTTTCACCATGGAAAATGGTGATTTCACCACATTTTAATCATTACTTTAACCATGAACAATAGGAAATTGGTGGTTTAAGCGTCAAGTAGTTGAAGAATCAATGCGGTGATTTCAGCAATAAGACTGGGCTTGGGGTTCAAGTCATGGGCAAGGCTTCCTCAAATCGCGCGGATTTTCCCAGATTCTGGGTGTCTCTGAACATGTCGTAAAGCCACCAGAAATTGGTGATTTCAGCAGGGAAAACCATGAACCATCAAGCCACAATTTTCCGACCAAGCCGAATGGATCTCCGTCCCACACGGCGACAGTCTTGCGAGTCAACTGGACATTTCTTTTTGAGTTGCGCCCAAATCTGCCATTTTCGGACAAAACCCAAGTCTAACAGTCTAACCCAACTCTTCGTTGTGAAGTGACCACCAGTTAAGTCCATAATCCTGGGTGATCATCGCCTTGAGGCCTTTTAGACATGATCTCCATGGTTCTAGCGATGGATGCTATGCCCATCTTGGGAGGTGTGGATGGATTTTTCGCGCGGCTCAAGCTGGACATGTGAAAACTACTGTATGAGGGCATCCAAGACAATGTGGTAAACCCAATGCCATCAACCATTTGGGGATGGATTATACCACCGATTTTGGGGATTTACTTGAGGCATCTTGAGGTGGGAGCTGGGCCCATTTCTCAAGGACTCGGCGACTCGTTCTCGGCCAGGCGTGTATCCCAACAACGACTACAATGCAGAGACATACGCCATGCTAAAGGAATGGGTCATCAGGGGACCAGATGGACATAGATCGACCCAGAAATGGTTGATAATTGTGTAGTACTAGACCATCCGCCTTTTTCGGAGGGGTGAGAATTGAATTGCCATAGATATTGCATATTTTGAGCCGGGAGCATTGAGCATTGGATATTATTGGATTGTATCCCCAAAATGGATCAAAATGGGTGAACGCCTGCTTCACTCCAGTATGGCTCGGCACCCCTAAAATCCAATGATTGTAATCGTGCTATGTGCTTTATAGATCCACTAGTAAACCAGTCATGCCATCATTGTTTTCCCCGTCAGCTTATCAACTGGTGCCCTGGGGCAAGGAGACTGCACGCACCATGGCGACTTGGAATGTTCCCATCTTCGAGTGGCTCCCTGTTCTGGATGATGGGCACGGCCGTTGGAAGGAGCCGCAACGGAGGATGGAGTACTATCCTGCCATTCAAAAAGCACTTCCTGCTCTGCTGTTGAAAATGATCACTTTCCATGGCAATATGTATATAAAATACTTATACGTATATATAATACACACACACATATACATATATATATACACATATTTATGCATCTATATATACATATATATATATAATGCAGTTAGGTGAAGTTGCCAGAGGGTACCACAACTGGAGACAATGGCTAGGAATTGAACGTGAAGATGGGTAGATTGATATCTAAGAATCCCAATTCATTGGGACATTGAAACCCAGGGGTACGAAGTGCAGTCACAGTCACAGTGTGTAAAAAAGGCCCCTCACCATCTCCAGATTCGATGGTTTGTATTGATAGATTTGCTTTGGGACTTTGGACTAGTCCATTTGGAGCTGCTTCTCTTCAAAAGACCAACCTACAAGTGGAGGTTTCCTAAAATAGGGGCACCCCCAAATCATCCATTTTAATGGGATTTTCCATTATAAACCAGCCATTTTTGGATATGGAACTCCCGTTTTTTTCTCCGAAGAATGGCCGTGTTTGAAACAAAAAAAGTGCCACAGGAGTCGTTGTATTTTGATCACGCGCATCCAAATACCGAGGCGCAGACACCGCAGTGGGCTTCGCATGGCATCGCATGGATATCCATGTTGAGACGTGCAACATGTATAGAACAGGTGGTTTTTTTAAACATCTTATGCAGGTCAAAGCACCGGTCAGTTTTTTAACACGTATTTAATTGCCTGTGGCAAGCCCGCCGGCCATAGAGAGGTGGCCCCAAGGGAGTTTGATGTGCACTCTAGGTGGAAGCCAGAGAGAGAAGCAGAAGCAGAAGCAGAAGAAGAAGAAGAAGAAGAAGAAGGGAGACGAAGAGAGAGCCGTAAAACGGAAGCAACTTGTGTAGCAAGTGCGTTCCGTGATAACCTATTGACCGGATATCACTTTCGTACAGACCACAGCAAAGTAGCCCGAGGTACTATGTATATATGAGCCTCTGGCTTGAAAGCAGACCGCTGCATGGAGGGGACAAGGTGGAAGTGGAGAGAGGTAGGTGGATGTGCACGCTAGGTGGAAGCCGGAGAGAGAAGCAGAAGATAAGAGAAGAAGAAGTAGTAGAAGAAGAAGAGGAAGAAGAAGAGACGAAGACAGAGCCGTAGATCAGAAGCAGTCTGACTAGCAAATGCTTTCCTGAACAACCCATTGACAGCATACCAAATGAGTACCTGTCGATCAGAGGGGGGAGGGAAAGGGGAGGGGTGGCGGGAAGGGGGGGAGGAACACCTTCCAATCAGGCACGCTGGCAGGCCGGCGGATTTGCGTATATATTACGTATATGCATGTGTATATACATCAGACGCAGTAGGTACACACTATCCACGTCTGGAAGCGTGTATTGTATATACTTTACATAGATACATACACAAATAATATATTTGTATTTGTATATTATGAATCTAGACATGCATGTTTTACATTTTATATACACATTGCAAGCTGCACATTTCTACATATTGCTACACTCAGATACCTCTGCGTATACATATGCAATCATATATAATTATATGTATATGCATATAGTATATAAATACATATATATATATATACATATGTATATATATATATATGTATATATATATGCATATATATGCATATATATGTATATATATGTATATGTTTACATATATATATATACATATTTATATACATACACAAACATATGTCTTGAATCTCTGGGTTACCAACCCATCATGCACGTCCCACCTGCGTGCAGGGGCAACGGCACATGTTCGAATGTATCGACCTCTCGCTGTTCGCGCACGCTGGGGAAGACATTCCTCAACTGGTCCGGCGCAGGCCCGGTCTCGGCATGGAAAATATGGATGCAACACCGAAGAGACTGGCAGGGACCAGCAAAAAATCGATATTGACCAAACATGGTGTACAATGGGTATGATTTCTTTCGGCATGGAGACATCATGTTTGAGTGCACAAAAGGTTCAGTTGAATGGAAGAAATAATCACGAAGCACTGGATCATACTGGATCATACTGGATCAGTCCACATCCGAATATCGGCAGTTTCTCATCCAAAGAAATCCGTTGAATCCAGCTGACTGATCCACATATTTCAAAGCATACTGAGCTGTGCCAATTCGATGTCCGAAAAAGTGTTTCTTCCATGGCAGGCCATTCAGAAGGTACAGTTCCAGTTTCATTTGTGACTACTAGTGGATATTTTTCACCACAGTATACCACAGTTATATAATATACCCCGAATCATACCCACGAATCATACCCCGAATCATACCCCCTAGTCAAACTTCCCGGCTTGGACTTGGACACGGTATTTTGAGACATACCCATATATATATAATATACATAGTTATAAGGCCCCATCTCCGAACTCGTGCCACGGTGAACTCACCATGGTGATTAACCGTGAAAATTACCCATTTTTTTCGCCATGAAAAAAACCTATTTTTTTTAGAGAAGAGTATCCGTATCAACCCTTACTGGTACCAATATTAACATATATTAACCATTATTAGACCATATCAACCCATCTGAAAAACTATATCAACCATGATTTAATCACCTGCATCCTGCCCCGCCGTTCCCGGTCCCCGATTCTCTAGGAGCAGCTTGTCACAACTGGATTCCAGCGAGCGCCAGACCAGCTACTCGTACTTGGACGAGGCGGGCATGACGTGGGGACATGTCCACACTGTCCACCGTGTAGCCCTGGTGAAGAACTGAAGATCGACATAGAGGTCATGAAAAAAAATATGAAAAACCAAAGGACTTTTGTGATCTCAAAATCTTTGGGATTTATGGGTGTATAGCACCCCCCAAACATTTTGCATTTCAGGTTTAGGCCCATGTGACCGTGTGACCGTGTGATGTAGTAATATGCCTTCGGCAGGGTGCGGCTTGGTGCATCCATCACCCTGGGATCTGTTGTGAGATGGGAGTACACCTGGCCCCTGATGGGCAATGATGGGCAGATCTTCCAAAAGCAGGCAGATCTTAGATGTTGGCCGAACATTTGCCACTTGCGAAGTGGAATTTGGTGTAATCTACCCTCTGGTAAACTAACATAACTATGGAAAATCACCATTTTCAATGGGAAGATCCACTATAAATGGCCATTTTCCATAGCTATGTTAAATTACCAGAGGATAAGTAATCTCAGTGTTTTTCTTGGCTTAATCTACTCCGGAGGATTTGGTGTCTTTCCCAGCATCCAAATGGTAAACGCGCCGCCCTGAGGCAGTTCAGGTGGGGGGCCTCAGAATCGTTTGAACTGTTTGTTGTTTCGACCCGAATGGGCTGGGCATGGCATAGGACTTATCAGCAAGTTTTGATCATTCAAGCCTTTTGCGGAAACATCATATATATATATATATATGCATGTACACTGCATGTATCATGTATGTATGTAATGTAATGTAACGTGATGCGATGCGATGCAATGCAATGCAACGCGACGTAACATAATGTAATGTATGCATGCATGCATATGTATTATGTGTGTATATATATATACACATGAACCAGGTCCCCGGATCGCCGCCTCCCCCAACGGTATGGTCCCCCCAGCCACCTCGAAACCTTCACCGCCGACAGCATTTGTACCCTATTTGCAGCCGACAGCATTGTGGAGACAGTACGCTATTTGCAGCATTTGAGAGACGCCACCTCGTTACTGGATTCTGTTTTATATGTCTAGCATATCAATATATATATATATATATCAATCTAGCGCATACTACCCACAACCCGCTTATGTGCTGCCTACAGCGTACCTGACACATGGCTTACCACTCATTGTATGCCTTTATGCTACATATTTGCTTCCTACATACCTATACTCAAAGCGTACCCATGCATACCAAATATAATCCTATATCCTAATGCTTGGATGCAGTATGTACCTACAAAAATATACATATATAGATATATACTGCAACACGACCTCAATACAATACCCAACATTACCCATTTAAAGTTATATACCTATTTGCAGTGTAGATTTTACATTGCTTCATCACCAAATATATTCCTTACACCCTGCATATACTACCTACACACGTTCCATACCGTATCTATATAGGACTCATTACATAGTTTGCCCATATACTATCTGCGTATATACTCCCCTGTAAGTGCTCTACTCTCCATACACTCCCTATAAACTGGACATCAACCACAGCTGCAGAAACACTGCCCAAGTAGGCCTGTTGGGAACCCCCCCAGGCGGTGGGGGAACCGGGGGTTCCCCATCACCATCGAGGCTTCGCAAGCAGCGGAATCCACAGCGCATGGAGAACCCATTGGCCCGCCGGCGTTTGAGGAGATCTGGATTGTTACAAAGAAAATCGGAGTTGTTTTTCCAACATGGGAATCATGGGAATGGCGATGGAAAGATATCTTGCAACGTTAAACATGGAAGCCATGTATTCCCATGTTTTCACAACAGAGGAAGTCAACAAAAAAGGGGATGGAAGCAACCCACATATAGATTTCGTATGGTATAGTGTAGCCAATAGTGCTGGGGGGAAGTTGAGAAGGTGACAGAAGTCTTTTCGCTGGATCAACCGATCAACCTTTATAGTTGGACACACAGATAACCATTCGTGCCTTTACAGAAGATTGTATATACTGGAAACATGTTCTTTCCAACGTTCGTGGGTGCATCCAGGTTGAGCTAAGTCGAGACACCCAAATATAGTTGGTGTTGAGTGAGCTCAGGCTCTGAGGCCAACCAATTTCGGGTCACCTGACTCTGTTTACGGTGAAGCGTAGGGCAGGAAACCATGGCTCTACAGTACCAACAATTTCCATCCAGGGCTTTCCTGCAACATTTTCTTTGTTTTTTTTCCATGATTTTCCCTTGAACCCTTATTTTGTTTTTTTTTTATTTGCCATCATTTCATAGAAAGTAAAAATCCTGCAGATTTTTCGACATTTCTCCAGGATGGCCGCGGCTTCTCCATAGTACTTTGCAGGGGCGCTATCAGCATTCGCAGGAAGACCCAGTGTTTTTTTTTTGAGGTCGAGTGAGCAGTGCCCAAAATGCGACTTGATGGGCTTGCCTGAAAATCTAGGAACAAATCCCTAAATTTGATGGTTGAGCATCCTGTTCTCAACAAAAACTGGCCCTGAATGGGGGGTATCCCCAATTTCCGGACGCAAAAACAGGAATTCTTCTGATGCATGATGGAAAGAACTATAAACCAGCCAGCACGAGATGATGATACTTAAAAAAAGGGGGCAGTGAAGGAGGATGATGCTTTCGCCGGCAGAACCATGGGAGATTCACTAGGTATTCGTTGGCTTCACAGGGTATGTATTGGAATATTTAGGTTTGTCTGGAGGGGGAATTTACTATAGTAAGCATGTGGAGTACAGCCACCAACATATTTTGTATGTGTTTGTATATCTCAAATGGATATCATCCATTTGGGAATTTATATTTCATAGATGTGGGGTTTGTCCGAAACACATCTTCCAAAACAATCGTTTGAATGGAGAAAGCCATGGATGACATTTTGGATTTTGGGCCCGGTCTTTGGGAGATAAATGTAGCAATTGAGGATTTGCCGATATTTTATCATAAGAGATAAGGATCTCAAATTATCTGGTTAGATCAGTTATATATATAATACAATTATATATATATATATAATATCAATTATATTATATATATATACATTTTAAAAATCAACACTCAAATTAATTACAGGGTTAGATCGGTTAGACTAATGAAAGGTTGGAACTCATTTTGAAATGTAACCCTTAGCACTGGACATAAATCGTCGAGCTATCCAAATGATCCTGGACCACTGGATCCTGGGATCTTGAAGCAGCACGTGATGATAGACATATAATTCATATAACTTACATTATCATCTATATTATAATGAGGTTATATTATATCTACTATAGTATATATATAGATAATATAGATAATATCTACACAACTTATATGATATAACTCTACTCTGCTTGCAATGAGGTTGATCATCTCTGCCCCATATATTTAGGGGACACCAGCAACCTGACCCTGAAACAGGCCTCATCCTGACCCTGGCGCTCAGGGAACAAGACAGAGGACGAGTACGTCGTGTCGGCCGAGTGGCAGGTTGGGGTTTGCCCCCAGATGTTGTGACGTCGGATTGAGAGTGGGATGTCATCTCTACCCTCTGGTAATTTAACATAGCTATTGAAAATGACCATTTATAGTGGATTTTCCCATAAAAAATGGTGATTTTCCACAGTTATGTTAGTTTACCAGAGGGTATCCGACCTTCAATGAAATTTCACAGCAAGAATATCAAGAAGGTGGGACGCTCATCTTTTTTCAAAACCTTGAAAGGTTTTCAACATGGCATTCTTTGCATCTGAAAAGCTTTTGGTCAAGGTGACAGATCTTCTAGCCATATGAAGGGTCTGCCCTGGTAATTAAATCTGGCCAGAGATCTTCCATTTCAACGAACCAGGCAATTTTTTGGGTTGTGTTCATATCCCCACTGGTCTTGGATTTTCATTTTCTTGTGGTTGTGGTGAAGTTTCCACCACCGTAAGTAATCTCTGCTCCCTAATACTAAAACACCCCCCCAAATGGTAAACACGGTGATCTATTTTTATTGCTTTTATTTTTAAGGGGTATTTAGTCTTAGGGGCCTACATGTTTGTACTAGTATTAGGGAGCAGAGATTAGTATTAGTTTTAGCATTTGGGTTGCTGCCATCCGGCTTCTGAGTCAGCCAGTCAGCCGGTCAGATGGGACAGGGAGCCAGGAAATAATTAGGACCCTAATAAAAAACATCAGGTGTGATCCTATTGATTTTCAATTACCACAATTAAGAACGCAATTGTAACCCACCAAAAAAACGAAATTGCCAATCCATTCCTATTTTTATTAATTGGGGGAGTTTTAGTAATAGGGAGAAGAGATTATGATGCCACATATATATATATATATATACTGTATATGTATAGACGCAGGCGCATACATAATATTTGTATGTATGTATGCATGTACACAGACTTTGTATACTCATATATTTGCATGTATGTATGCTTGTACACAGACTTTTTTGTTCAAAATATATGTATGTATACATGTACACCGACTTTTCTATGTCATCTATTTGTATGTACGTATGCATGTACATTTTTTTCTTCATATATGATATATGTGTACAAGGTGGTGCCCCATAGTTAGCTAAGTTGGTTTATAACTCCCATAACTATGGTTTATGGCAGATATAACTATAGTTAATGGGGTTTATAAACCAACTTATAACTGGGGGGCACCATCCTGTATGTATGTAATATAATGTGATGTAATGTAGTGATCGGGAAAGCTTCGCCAAGTCAGGCGCTCTCGCGCGCTCTCGTCGCGGCCGGACTGCGCCCGGGCATCTACGTTTCAAGAGACGCGCCTCGAAAGGAACTGGAGGTGAAATGATGGGCCCCTCATAGTAATATACGTATATATATATAATATATCTATATACCTTCTGGTTATTTAACAAGCCATGGAAAATGGCCCATTTATAGATGGTTTACCTATTAAAAATTGTGATTTTCCATGGCTATGTTAAATAACCAGGGGGTATATCTACACGCATATGATATATAATTACATGGGTTTCCACAAATGGGGCCTCCCCTTAAATAGTTGTTTTTTTAATGGAAAATCCTGAGAACTGGGGGTGCCCCCATGACTTAGGATACCTCCATATACAGTATATTTAACGGTATCTAGTGACCTCACCGTGACCGAACCCTGGAATCATGGTTAGGATTCGGGGAATCATCCGCAGACGGCCTTACTTCAGGTGAGTAAACTACTATAATTTATCCAGATAGATGGTGGGAGATGATATTAATATCATATATCATTTAGCTAGGTTCAAGATAGGTGGTAGAGGCCTTAAGTAAGATCCAAACATGTCTGGTACGTACGGCTGGTAGGTTTGGTTTTCTTGGTACGGTTGGCTGGTAGTATTGGTACATCCAAAACGCCCCCCCCTTGACCCCCCCCATCCAAAACGCCCCCCCCTTGACCCCCCCTTAATCTGGTACGGTACGGTGGTACGGTTCACTGGTACGGTTGGTACGGTCGGTACGGTTGGTAAGCGTACCAAACGTACCTTACTAAGCGTACCAAGCGTACCTACCCAAAGCGGACCAAGCGTACCAAGCGCACCAAGCGTACCGTACCAAGCGCACCAAGCGTACCAAGCGTACCAAGCGTAGCGTACCTATCTTATAGCTGGATATCAAGCACCTATCTTGAACTTAGATAATATATCATTGATTCTGGATATATAACGGACGGGTGATATCTATACTATCTCCATCATCATATGATCTAATATTTCCTAACCATGATTGATTCTGGTTATATAATGGATATATTAACATATAACATATACACGTAGAGCGACAGACTGGGAAATGATTCATTTAACATGGTTTCAGATGATTTATATATATATCAAACATGAGAATTTAACCAACAACGATGGTGGTATATATGGGATACAATGGAGATATTTATAGTCACTTCTCTGCGACTTCACTGGAATGGTGATTAGAATTCGGGTAACCATCCCCAAACAGAATTATTGCAATTTATCATCCAGATATAAAGTTTATGGGAGTAATGATGGGTGATTAATCGCTGATCGATTAGCGATTATTCCCATTGATATCCCACTATAATGTAAATGGATTTATGACTACCATTAAGTTGGGTTACTGTAACTAGAGATGCCTTTGCACCACCAACCAGTCAGAGGTGACTTTTCTCTGAAGCCCATCATTGGGTTGTTTCAACAATTTTTACATATTTTTCATGTTCAACAATTGTTACACCACAGTTTGGATGATCATTTTTACTATGCGGCTGCCGGGCCATCCGGGCGGCAAAAGACGTGCCAGTCAGGAATGCTGCCAGAATAATCGGGAACGACAGCCATTGGATTTGCTGGGGGAACGTATTGGGGATCGTTTATACACCCATAACAGCGGTGATGACTTGGGGATGGTTTATGATGTTTACCACAATACTGTAATAGGGACACCCATTCACGAACCAGCATAATGTGACGGGATAGAGGATGATAGAGGTAGTTCTTTTGGGTAAACTTGATGGCGATGTGTCATTGTGAGTCATGTAGACATGAAACTATCGCAAGAGGTTTGCCATCTTTGCTGTCTTTGACAAGTTGGGATATGTTTGCACCAAAAAAAAAGTGTGGTCCGAAAAAGTCTCCAGATGGCTTCCGGAAATTCTGTGGGAGGCTGATCTTGCCACCTTCTGCAGATGCTCTGTACTTACCGTCCTTTCAGCAAGGAAGCGGGCAGGACAGCCGCCTGTCTGCATCGTAGGATCATTCCATGAAATCCCATGAAATCCCATGAAATCCCATGAAATCCGTGCCACCAAGGATGAATGTCTCCCGCATTTGGATCTGCCGTTGTTGTTCAGCGGCCGCGGTTCGTTTTTTTTTTTGAATTTTAAAGACATAGCCGGTGGCTCAGAAATGATGGGGTCGCTAGCAGTTGAGACCTGTGAATGGTTGGTTGACTGGTTGCAATTGAGAGACCCAAAAGGTCCATGCAGAAACCTTTACACGTCCTGGAAACTCCTCAAAGCGAGATGATTTCATGTGATTTCCATGTGAAGCGATATAGCGAACTAATAATTAGCGATAACTTTTGCATGACCGCCTTTGTGTGACCCTTAGTTTTGGTCCCTTCTCAAGTGGTGAGCAAACTCATTTGGATGAGTAGGCCTGAGAAGGCAATGCTTATTTATCATTATACTGGAATCTAAACCAGTGAAATCTTTAGGAAATTATGAACCCATCTGTTCGTTGATTTGCTACTGCTACTGGAACCTTTTTGAGCCATCCACCAGGTGAGAAGTCGGAGTAGTTTCCTGCCTCACCCTTAAGATCTCGGGTCATCTTTTAGCTCAGGGAGCCATCTGTGACGCTGTGAATGCGCACTGGCCATGCCTGGAGGGCCCTGATTTCGAGTTTCTGAATTGGATGAGTAGGCCTGAGAAGGCAATGCTTATTTATCATTATACTGGAATCTAAACCAGTGAAATCTTTGGGAATTTATGAACCCATCTGTTCTTTGATTTGCTACTGCTACTGGAACCTTTTTGAGCCATCCACCAGGTGAGAAGTCGGAGTAGTTTCCTGCCTCACCCTTAAGATCTTGGGTCATCTTTTAGCTCAGGGAGCCATCTGTGACGCTGTGAATGCGCACTGGCCATGCCTGGAGGGCCCTGATTTCGAGTTTCTGAAGAAAAAACACCAGGAATGAGTTGTACATCTCTGGTTGGTGGTTTCAGGTACTTCATGGTATTTCAACTTTCAACATTTGAAAACACAATGTTTTGGATGGGTAACCACCAGTGAGATCTCCGGAATGCTCAACGCTCACGTTTTGCGAGGGACAATCCCGCAAGACGGGTGCTTTTGGATTGCACTCTGGACACGTCTTCCCATCCCTGTCTTGTATCAATGGGAATATCACCAGAAAATATGGCCTTATATGGTACAGTACCTCCATTTTAGGATCCTGAATTTCCCATTGATTGTACGCCTGTGTATGCCTGTGTATGCCATCTTGGTGCTGCTCGCCTGCTAGCTAGCCTGCCTTTCCAATGCTCGGTAGCAGGCCTTTGTATAGGGACAGCGACCACAATCCCCAGGTTAAAGTTCCAAAAGCCGCAGGAATCGCCAACTTGTCCCATATTCGATGGATAGGCACGCCAAACCTGGCACCTCTACTTTGGTGACCATCACATCAGAAACCTCTTAGAAACAGAACGTGTGGTTGAAATCGAGTTTGAAACCAGACAATGAGTTCTACCATGTCCCACCTTGCATTTAAGGTCACAATGAATTATATCAGTGGCTTCGACCCCCAAACTTGGGATTGCACCCGTCATAATTACCCTCTGGTAATTTAACATAGCCATGGAAGCCATGGCCCATAGAAATAGATGGTTTACCTATTAAAAATGGTGATTCTCCAGAGCTATCTTAGTTTACCAGAGGGTAAACCTCCATTTTCCTATAGTTTTCCTATGGTTTTCCCATTCAAACCGGTCTTCCATGGCTATGTTAGTCATAACCAGATGGTACACCCATGATTTTCCCACGGATCCCACGGGCGCAAGGCATATCTCGCACCCCGAAGTCCCAGCGTTTCATCGCGGGGGTCAGGAGGAGCGGGGTCTCCACTTTTCGGGAGCTTCCAATGGAGAGAACATGGAAAAACGTCGTGAAATGCGTAATCCAATGGATTTTATGGGTTATGACACCACTGATTTTATGGGCATAGGGATAGAATGAGATATCGACTAAGCAACTTGATATGTAATATTTAAGTCTGAGATTGAGGTACCCTCGAATATATGGACATTTTCGTACGCGTCGGGCTGGTAGAAGTTCGCGCTTGTGTTTTTGGGGGGTGCATGATCATCATGATCAAATCTCCTGTGTTTTACAGGGTTTTTGTTTTGTTGGAGTTTAGAAGAGCAAAACGAACTAACTTTTTGAAGGCACAAATTGTGCGTCGTTTTGCAATGACATGGCTCGAAGAATATCGTATTTTGATGTATTTTGGTTGTGGCCAAAATGGCCATCAGATTGAGACGTGTAGAAGCCGTGCAGGATACATATACTTATATACATACACTTATATATTCATACAACTATATATATATATATATCTATATCTATATCTATATACATATATATCGTGACAGCTTATACTTCATATAAAAGCACATAAGATCAATAACATGTTGGTACATCAACATCATATAATTTCTAAAACCAATATATAAATGCAGCCACATCAAGTTAGTTACCTATGAAGTCAAATTCATATTAGTCCAACGGATCATAGGTTATTTTCTTGACCCACCTTTGCCATTACATGATGGGGATGTGAACAGCCGACACGGAGAGTGTCCGACGAGCAATGCATGGATTCTCATGTGGCGTCCAGCAAGCAACAGTTGATCATCCAATTTGTTCGATTCTGTTGGGGAACGGTGGTGTATTTGGAACCCAGGAAGTGAAGTTATGAAGGACGTGGGGATGGTTTATGTAAACCCCATGTTTTGCATGACATGGACGCAACAGGTTCGAACGTTATTGCCCCCCCCACCCCACGCCCCACCCAAACCACCAAAGATGCATTTCGTATTGCGGTTTTCTACCAGCCCGACACCTTTTAGGAATGGAATGGAAGTACCACAATTTATTGCAGTACCAAGGTAGATTAGATTGGATGAGATTAGATTAGATTGGAGTAAATGGGATTCGATTTGATGAGATTGCATGTATAGAGATTCATATGAATATAGATAGATACGTGTATATAAATGTGTATATGGGAGTTTCTATAAAATGGGGATACCCCAAAATTTGATGGTTTGCAATGGAAAATCCCAATCTAAAATGGATGATTTAGGGGTACCCCTAGTTTAGGAACCCCCCATATATAATCATATATATATAATAATCTAGTAATTGGAATGTACCATCTTAGATCTCGACCGCGAAAGATATCATCCCAAGAGGAAGCAGTTTTAGGGTCTATGTTAGCTGGAGCGAGGGTAACATGTGGGGGTTTCTAACTAAAATGGGGGTACCCCCAAATCATCCCATCTCAATAGGATTTTCTATTAGAAACCATCCATTTGGGTACCCCTATTTCAGGAAAACCTCCATTTTTTTAACCGGTCACCGGTATATGGGATTCTTTCAAGGTTCTAGTCCCCATGAATGCGGGGATATATGGGGACGAGTCATGCCATTGATATCCCAAGTGTTGCGGATGAACATCGTCGATTCGCGCAAGCACGATCTTGATATGGCCGGGGTAAGCCCTGGTGGGAAGATCATCATGTGAATTTTTGAATCCCCAGTTTTGATGGGGGACGTCATTGAAATTCTTCAAAGGGGAGCGCTTTAGCATTTTGTTGGTGAAATGCAACTTTCACAGGAACATCGCAAGCTTGATAGGAGCATTAGGAGCATCACCAATGTTTGGGCAAATCCCTTTGGGAAACGTAGCACTTGTTGTTGTTTGGAAAATTGAATCAGGAGCAGCAGCTGTACTGCCCGAAGCGGAAAATCCAGTGGGGAACCCGGTCGTCGAACTTCAGGTTTTAAAAATGCTGGATTTCCCATAGATTTACTGTTTTTTTCGGTTGAACAAGCTTCTAAAAGGGATCTTCGATTTTTGGTGGCTGAATTTGCTCATTGTAGTTTATTTTTAAAGTATTATATATACATATATATACACATATGTATATATCTATCTATCTATCTATCTATCTATCTATCTATCTATATTATCAAACCGTTGAATCCACACAGAGATTGCGGGAACCAACTTGGACCTGTGGAGATTCAGCTTCAAGAGGCCTTCACAAGCCGGCTCCAGAAATATCACTGGATTGCCAAAGAACATAACATGCTTTCTAGGGCTTGAACATCCATAAGTTAACTCCACAATATCCATGATATCCATAAGAATCATCCCATAGAATTGGGTTTTCTCGTGATTATGGGTGTAGTATGGGAGTAGTATGGGAGTAGTATGGGAGAGTATGGGAACGGGGGTCCATCATTGGGGGGTCCCGTCATGAATTCCACCAATAACGCCATCACATCCAAGTTGGTAAACATATCAGTGTACAGAAAAAAATCCATCCCCATAGTAGGCCCCCTTGTTTTCTTGGATCCGTTCAAAAATTAGGGTCGCTTATAGAGGGGGTAATTTGAGAACAAGGAGAAAGAACTATGTTTTTCCAAATATTTTTAGATGTAAACACACAATCATTGTGTGTTTCCACGAAACGCTCGAAACATGTCTTCCCGATGTTTTAAACTATATGATATGATATGAATGTACAACCATCAGTACATATAAGCCTCATTACATCAACGACTCACGACCATCAACCTCATCTACTCTCCGGTAATCAAACGTGGCTAGCTGGAAAATCCCCGAACTACAGGGAGCTTTCTAGCTGGGAATATCATCGAACTAAATGGTGGATCT